AAGATATGATAATAAATTTCATCTTCAATGGATTCCTCACAATGATTTAACAAATATTGAAAAGATAGGTGAAAGTATGTTTGCAACTATATACAAAGCTATTTGGATAAGTGGTTGGAAACATATAGACAAGGATAATAAAAGAATCAGTGAAGATGAAATTATAGCATTAAAAAAATTACATAATTCACAAAGTATTTCAGATGAATTTCTTAATGAGGTAAATTCTTCTTTTAATATTTTTAAATATTATTTATTATTGCCATTGACTTTTTTTTTTCAGTTCAAAAATTACCTTAAGTTTCATGATAAAGAAGATATAATTAAAATTTATGGATCAACACAAGATCCAATTACAAAAGACTATATGCTTATAATGGATTATAAAAATGATAGAAGTATTCAAAATTATGATGAATATTCATATAAGAGAGAGCAAAAATTTGGAGAATGTCCAATTTGCAATAGATATAATACTAATTGGACATGGTGTCAGTCATGTGATCCAAATCTATTAACTGAAGGATCAACTAGTGGTAATAAAACATTAGATGAATTGATTAAAAGTACACAACTTATAGTAACAAGATATGATAACAAACATCATCTTCAATGGATTCCTCACAAAGATTTAACAAATATTGAAAAGATAGGTGAAAGTATGTTTGCAACTATATACAAAGCTACTTGGATAAGTGGTTGGAAACATATTGACAAGGATAATAAAAAAATCAGTGAAGATGAAATTGTGGCATTAAAAAAATTACATAATTCACAAAGTATTTCAGATGAATTTCTTAATGAGGTAAATTCTTCTTTTAATATTTTTAAATATTATTTATTATTGCCATTGACTTTTTTTTTTCAGTTCAAAAATTACCTTAAGTTTCATGATAAAGAAGATATAATTAAAATTTATGGATCAACACAAGATCCAACTACACAAGACTATATGCTTGTAATGGATTATAAAAAAGATAGAAGCCTTCAAAATTATGATGAATATTCATATAAGAGAGAACAAAAATTTGGGAAATGTCCAACTTGCAATAGATATAATACTCATTGGACATGGTGTCAATCATGTGATCCAAATCAATTAACTGAAGGATGGACTAGTAGTAACAAAACACTAGATGAGTTGATTAAAAGTACACAACTGAAAGCAACTGAGTATGATAATTATTATTATCTTCAATGGATTCCTCATAATGATTTGACAAATATTGAAAAGATAGGTGAAGGTGGTTTTTCAACTATATACAAAGCTACTTGGATAAATGGTAATAAGTATATATATGGTAATAATAAAAGAGCTAGTGAAGATGAGATTGTGGCATTAAAAAAATTACATAATTCACAAAATATTTCTGATGAATTTCTTAATGAGGTAAATTATATATTTTTTTTTGTTTATTTTTGAATTTTTAAATATTATTCAAAATAAATATGATTTTTCCTTTTTTAGTTCAAAAATTATATTAAATTTCATGATAAAGAAGATATAATTAAAATTTATGGATCAACACAAGATCCAATTACAAAAGAATATATATTTGTAATGAGATATATAAAAGATGGAAACCTTCTAAATTATTTAACCAAAGATTTTAAGAATTTAAAATGGAAAGCCAAAATTGGTATTCTTCATCAAATTATTAAAGGTTTAAAAGATATTCATGAACAAAAAGTCATTCATTGTGACCTTCATAGTGGAAATATTCTTCAATATTCTACCAATTCATTTATTGCAGATTTAGGATTATCATGTCTAGCTAGTCAAACATCAGCATCAAATAAAAATGACATATTTGGAGTACTGCCATTTGTTGCACCAGAAGTTTTAAGAGGGAAACCATATACAATGGAATCAGATATATATAGTTTTGGAGTTCTGATGTCTATAATATCAACTGGTCAACAACCATTCAACAGTTTGGCACATGATGTGGCTCTTCAAGTGAGAATATGTGAAGGTATAAGACCTGCATTTTCAATCAACACTCCAAAATTTTATATTGAATTAGCATACAAATGCATGGATGCTAATCCAGATAATCGCCCAACTGCTAAAGAAATATTTACAATTATTAACAATTGGAAATTTACATTATGGTCATTTGAAGAAATATTTGATAAGATGGACAAGATTTTATTTGATCCTTCAACAATTACTGCAACAATTCATCCAAATGCAATTTATACTAGCAGATTATTAAAATTTACAGACCTTCTTCCTCAACCTGTCAATTCCAATAAAGTAACAATTATTGGTAATCATAAAGGTAACTGTTAATTGATTAATTTTATTATCATGATTAATTTTATTATTGTGATTAATTTTTAAATAAACATTAATATTAATATTTAATTTTTGTTAGATTCTCAACAGGTTGATTTAGATTTACTAGATATGTTGTAATTGTAAATCTTCAAATGAATCAACAATACATAAATGAATTAACCCAATTAATCCTACAATTTCATCATGATGTAGTTGTTTTATTTCCTTCTTTATCTTCCATTTGTTTTTATATTCAAAATTAGTTGTTTGATTTTTTGTTCAGGATAATTCTCTTTTTAAAAATCCGTGAACTCATTAACATATCCGTTGTATACTGTATTTTTATCAGATATACATTTTCCCCATGTATAAATATATTTTATTGGATAATATGTGTTGGGTCCTTTATTCGTGGGTTTGTTATTGTTCTCAGTGTGTAATACAAATTTCGTCCAAGATAAACTTAAGTCCGTTGATATAGTATTACCTGTTTTGATTAATTCTATGGTTTATATTCCTTTTAATTGTATCTTTTGGGAAGTAACTATTGCTAACTAATGCGGGGAGGAGGGTAGAAAGCAGGGCTGGAAATAGGTCTGAAAAAAAAACGGAAATTCCAGAAGAAAATTCTTAAATTTGAAAAAAAATTAACACCTAAAAAATTTCCTTTTTTAAATTTTTCTTTATTCTATTCTTCTGTTTTTACTTTGAAGAAATTTACTAAGAGAATCACTAAAATCATAACAAAATAAATCAGTACCTTCTAAACCAACCATCATTAATAAGTGCAATATGTCATTTCTATTGCATTACATAATCTGTTTTGATAATATTCTGTTTGCTAAAACCTCTTCACAATCTACACTAGAAAATGGAATTGAGTACACTATTTCTATAAGTTTTAAGATATGAATAAGACTTGGAAGTTTGGAAATTGGAATATTTTCTTTTGCCATCCAGTAAATCATTTTCATTATATTAATCATATGTTTGCTACCATTATTAGTGGCTTTTTTGGAAGAATATTGCATGGTTATCCTTGCCTTTTCTAGAAGCAAAGAGCCATTGTGTTGGTTTGAAAGTGCATGAGTTGCTAGAGCAGTAGATTTCGAAACATTATTTGATCCTAAATAATAACATTATAATATTAGCAAATTAATAATTGCAAAATGCAAAATTAATTATTTTTATTTGTCACCTTTCCTGCAAATTGATTTTTTTTTCCCCGTGTGCTTTACAAATTGTGCAAAACATTCTCTTCATTGTTGCATCATATTTTAACTATTTATAGGTTTAGCCATTCATAATGAAAACTTCTTCCTGATTTTTAAAATGCACTTTTTATTTTTATTGATTTTTTTGAAGTATCATCATTATCTGAGCCTTGAATTGTCAAATCATCTGAACCTTCTATATCTGATTCATCAATATTTGTTTCATCTATAAATGTTTCATCCCAAATTTAATAGTCAAATTATCTAATTCTTATTCTATACTATTTATTTATAATTTATTTTTTTTTGAGTAAGGGAACATAAATTCATATTTAAAGTCTGAAAATACAAAAGATACAAACTATGGTTCTTTTCTAAAATATTGAAGTAGTGACACACATATATGTATACATTATTTATTATAGGAAAAATATCTGGCAACTCTTTTTTTTTTCCGGAAGTTAATATTAAAGGAAAATCCGGATTTTTAAAGTACTATTTCCAGCCCTGGTAGAAAGTCAGCACTGTACTGTAAAAATTCGCCCAATTCGGACATATTATGAAAGGCAAATTCTTTATCCGTGATGATGATGGATAGAAGATTTGCCTTTCGGATAGCTGCAAATAAAATACTGTAAAGAAATAATAACAACCAATCACATAATTTTTTTCAGCATGGTAATCACTCGATTACAGCCCACGCAGTTCAAAAATTTATTAACCAAACCGGGCTGGTGCATCAAATAAACATATATACTTCTGTTAATATTAAGAGAATTGTCGCTGCTTGACATTAATTGAACTACCCACTCAAGCCCACCCTGGAAAATTTTTAAATTACGCGTTATAAAAAATCGGTACTCTCTAGAGCAACTGGAAGTTCCGCTATACATATATGGATAGATAAATATGTTTTCATGTATGTGTTCTATTGTAAATGAATAAAAATAATGATATTGTTATTGTTGTAATCATTTTCGTTGATTTGTAACTATCGATTGATTTTTGTATGTAATAATTTCATTAAAAGATGAAGATGTATATTGATTAGTGTTGCCTTTTGTAAATACATGTATTTGCAATTTTTACTTGCCATATTACAGAATAAGAGTTTCATGTTACAAAATAGGGTTGTCATATTACAGAATGATCAAAGTTATAGATGGGCGTCTAAATTGTTTTTGGGGTTGTCTAAAGTCAAAATAGTATTTAGACAAAAATGTCTAAAATGCACCACATGTCTAAATTAATATAAATAGTAATGATTTGCTTTAATACGACTAAAGGTCATGTGAATATCCACAAAGTTTAGTAAATTATCCAATAAAATTTAATTTCATTATTTTAGACAATCATGGTCCCAATTGTCTAAATGTCCAAATTAATTTATATTTTAGACATTGTCTAAATAATTTAGTTTAGACACCCATCTATAATTATAATCAAAGTCACTTACAAAAATGTCCCTTAAATGAAATTGCGCAATCCAATCGCAACCTTTCTTATTTAAATAGAATGATATCAGAACATGGTGATTTTGCGGAGGACTTTTCCAAATTTGCTAATTTTGCAATCCAGCCTTTATCAGTAAGATCCTCGTAATACCATCCTTTTTTGGTCTACACGTTAAACATTGTTGATCAGTTATCAAAGAATAGTATTATTATTATATGTATAAAACATAAAAGTTTCCTCATTTTATTTATTATTTATACAGTGCATATGAAAGTCAAAGATCATATACAGTCTAAATTGGAATAAACTTGTTAATTAAAACATGTGTTATTACATATTTTACGGTTTTAGGCCTGGTTTCCAATGATGAAAATTTTTACTAATTGCGACCCAAAAATTAAAAAATATACCTATTTTGGTATTATAAAAAAATAATTTTATGACCTTTCTATCAAAAATAAAATAAAAAATAAAAAAAGGGGTCGGTTAGTATTTTTTTGCCCAGATATAATTTCTGTACGTTTAAGGGATAATGTTGATTAAAAGGAACGAGTGTTTTAGTTAATCCCATTAATATGTGATTTTCAAATTCTTCGTCTTGAGTTTGGGGAATATCAATTATTCAATTCCCCAGAAGTTCAAGTCCTTTGTTGGTATCTTTAAATGTAAACCTTCGGTTAGCATGTAGTTGTTTTCTTTCCCCTTCCTGGATGATGACAATGAATGTAATATCCAAGTTCTTTATAACAGACAAATCTTTGACTTTCGATGTCACCAATTTCTTAGATAACATTCATTAATACTTTACACTCATACCGTTCTATGCAAGGTACTTGCATATTATAAACACTCATGCCAAGAATATTTAGTACATACATCTTAATTCACACGAAAAGAACGCGATATGTATTTATTGCAAGGAATACACTTTTCAGGAAAGATATCCTAGTTCAAAGTCCCTGAAATGAATTAAAAATTTGATGCTCATTTTTCAAACCCTTTATAAGAGATATTTATTTCATCTTCAATGCTTATTAGCGTTCATAGTTTTCAAAATTTAAATTTCTTTTATGAAGATATAATTCATACCAAAGTCCATCAATTCAAATTATATTCAAGAATAATTTCATCATCATATTTTATGAAATAAACTCATTGTTATTATCCCTAGTATTTGTGCAAGGCCCACGGAAAATAAAATAGATGAAGAACCAGCTAAAGTGTTTGTTATCATTATTTCACAATTGCATTTATTAGACGAGGCAAAAGTATGCAAACTTTCAGCTTTTATTAAGCCATCTTGGGACTTTAGATATTTTTGAGCAATATGCACAAATATTGTTTAAATTATAACAATATGCTGTTTCGATCATCATGTTTAATAAATTTCTTTTTCTTTTCTTTCTCGTAAACATAAACATAAACATAATTCTCAACCGCTAGAAATAAATAAATAAAATGATGATTATTTGACCAAGATTACGAGCGGAATTTATTATCGGATAATAAAACATATCACAAGTAGTAATATACTCGTATCAGAAGTCCCTTCGTGAGGAGGCATAATTATTTGTTGTATTTGGACAAAGGTATCAATCAGTCATAAAGAGAATGAATATAAATCAATTAAGGTGATTTAAAATATATGCAAAAGAATAAAAAGGACAAAAAGACTTTTTGTAAAAGCAAACGATCCGGGATTTATATAGAAGGAATTATTTACGCGCTCTTATTATACGAGTCTAAACTATAACTGGCGACGACACGTAAATATTCTATTATTGGACAACTATTTAGACTAGTCTACTAGTTTGACGATGAGAATAATTAAAATTTGCCAATACCAATATATGAAGGGAGAAAACCAAAGATGTCATAATTCTGATAATTCTGATAATTAATTATTAAATTTTACTGGAGCTCAAATATCAATAATAAATAAATATAAAAGTATAATTTATTTGCGATTAAATATGCGCATTAGTATAATGCAAAAATAATTATCGACATAATTAATTGATTGATTGATTGTTAAAATTCATCTTGTGTTTGTGATGAATCAACCATACACAAAACTAGAAACAGTCATCTATTACTATAATATAATGATTTACTTTAAAATTATAACAATAAATAAATTAATTACTATTTCTACAATTATTATTGTTAATATTAATACTGCGTGAATAAGTATGTAAAATTTATCTGATAGCGAAATCGTCCCAAATCCACTCCTAAACGAATTAGAAATATTTGAAAAGGAAGGATACAGATCATTTGAATCTACATGGAGGTTATGAATTCCTCTATGCCAATTACTTTATTCGAAAATTAATGCCTATTTTTCGTTATCAAAAAATCTGGAAAAACGTTACATGTGCTACGAGCTGTGAAATTTTCAGTTGATGAATTTGTCTATATTAGAATTACGATAATCATTATATATCCCATCAAAAGAAGTTTGGATGCATGTGGGCAATTTAATTGGCCTGGAAGAAGAAGGAGATGTGGAAAAAACGGGACGTGAATTATTATTATTACTATTACTATTACTATTACTATTACTATTACTATTAATATTACTATTATTGTTACGATTCTGATTATCAAAATGAAATTTAGTTGATAAAATTTCGTTGTAACACGTGGAGGTGACAATTGAAGAAGGTCCAAATTTTTTTAAAATCCATGGATAAATATTCAAATCAAACGAAAAAAGCTTCAGATATTCTAAATTATCATCATTATCGACACTATCAACATTTTTATCAATGATTTCTCCAATTTTATAATGCTTTAAAATTTTTAGAAAGATATTTTCTGGATTTTCTTCAAATTGTTGATATAAAAAGTCTAGAACACTAATTTTCTTTAAATTTCTTTCGGGTTTAATAATTTCGAATAAGCATTTCTCCAAAATAATTGATTTTTTTTCACCTCTAATAGCTTGAAAAGATTTTATAATTGTTTCACCAATTTCATTCAATTTGTTTTCAAATAAAGTAATTATATCAACCATAACAGATTTTGTCAACTTGAATCCTAAATCAATGAAAACTTGTAATTTTTCAATAATTATCTTTAATGTAGGATGTTCCGGAGCTTCTCCAAAAGAATTGGGTGGGAATAAAATAAGGAAGTTCCCTTGTAATACCAAATCATTAAAATCGTAACTAATTAAATCGTAACCAATTCTTTTCCACAAGGTCGCTAAATATGGGCAGATAATAATTGCTCTGGAAATGATGTTTAATGCTTTGGAATTTTCGAATCCATCGGATATTGGACCAATCTCTTTTAAAATTTGTTCGGATGTCACTGTGGGCGGTGATCGAGATTGTTTTTTGTTAAAATCAATAATATTTTTATATGACATCTTGGGTTTTCTTGGATTCGGAACGAATCTTTTTTCTAAGATCAAATCTTCAATCAATTTTAAATTTTTATTTAACACCTTTTCCGCGACTTTAATTGCAAGATTCCCACCTGTTAAATAATGGAACAATTCGAGGTCATTGCTTCTTAAACAAAAATCTGGCCCTACCCATCTACGACTTCCTTCCATCAACAATTCAGAGTAGATATCTATTGGTAAACTAGAAGCCCACGATCTTTTAAGATGTCTTTGTAAGTCGTTGTTGTTATCTTTATCATCATTATTAGGATTACTACCGATATTACCGGTATTAATAATATTATTACTGGTAGCTTTATTGTTAATTCTGAGCTGCACTAATTGCGGGTCATAAGTTCCGAAACATTGGATAAGTTTTTGAAGAAAATAACGTGACAATATTGCATCATTGATCAAAGCACTTTTTACTAATTCTACTGTAATGAAATTTGGTCCAAGGGAGATTGCATGAAAAAAAAAATGGGCTTTTCCATAATGATATAATAACCAATGGCATCGGGCATAAGTGTCTTCAGAAACTTTTAAAAATAATTTATTTGTTCTTGCAAAAGACGCTGGATGTCGTGTGCGTTTAAAAATCTCAACCAGAATTTCATATGGGAATTTATCCATTTAATGCACCGATCAAAAGAGAAAACCCAACGAATGGGTGAAGTGCCACTGACTCTTGTATGAATTAAATGTGATAGAAATATTATAAAATCAACAATGCAATGATATTGGTTTTGGCGCTCCGTTAAATTTAAAAACAAAACATCTTTGTTGATTTTTATATAAATTTTCTCTTCAATCATTTACTCGTTTAAAATTTTCATTCGTTTATTTATAATTAAATTACGTCCATTCATTGATGTTTATAAATTCCTTATGAACGATCACTTTTTTGGAAATATTAATACATAAAGGTTATTTTAAAATTTTTATGTCACGTTGGTTGACAAATGTAAACACATGATGTTTTTTTAAGTTTAAATCCAAACACATGATGTTTTTTTAAATTTAAATTCAAACACATGATGTTTTTTTAAATTTAAATCATCCGTGTTTGGACATTCCATTTAATTGAACCAAAAAAAATTTTTAAATAAATATCAAATGATATTTCTTCTAATAGTAATACACGTTATCAAAATCCAATCGAAATATTGAATCTGAACTCCATGATAGCATTCAAATGTTGAATAAATAAGTTTGATTTACTGTTTTCTTGATGTGTAGTCGCAGAAACTGCAAGCTCTACGGGAAAAAAACTTCGAATCCCACACTTCAACGTTCACGCGATAAAATTATAAGTGTCCTTGATTAAAAGAACTTTATTAGTAAATTTATGAAACATGATAAATCGTACCTTATAGATGATGGAAGAATATTTGAGAAATTGAAGGATCTAGGAGTCCGATAAAATTTTGCGACTGAAAATTGCTTCATTGCATTATTTGAAGATCATTCTTCAGAAAAAAACGGAACAATTTTTTTTTTGCACAAAAAATTTTTCCTAAATTTAATTTATCCCAATATACTCATGTTATCATTGTTTAATCGGATAAATCGCCAGTTGCACAAAAATTTGATAACTAGTATCATCTATCATGTGACAGTTATTACAGTAAAAAAATTTTTTTTTATATAAAAAACTAAAATCTTAATTACAAAAAGGACAAAGCCAATAAAAATAATTGTTACATCAATTGCTTACAGGACGAGCTTAAATTTCGAGCAATTGAAATTGTCTTTTGCATTAATTATTATTATATTCGATATTATTATTTTTTTTTGTGGCGAAATAAAATTTTTTATTAAATTTAGTCAATTAAATAAGATAAAAGAAATTGCTATCCAACGATATTATTGTATTGGTCAAAATACAAACAGAGAAAAAGAAAATCCATGCACATTCTAACCTTAGATAATTTTCGAACTTGTTATAGAAGGTGCAATCTACCATGTGCATCCGGAAGACGTCTTCCAGAGACTTTTATTTTGAAGGCTGAAGGAATATTCTGGAATCCCAATCTCATGAAAAAGGATATGACAAACATGCGAAAGATACTTCTGATGCAATCATAAAGACATACCAATAATACTATTTTACGCTAGAGGCTGATTATCTTGACAATTATTTGAATCCCCATATTTATAATTTATTTATTTATTATCTGTATCTTCGTGGAAAAGATCTTTTTGTTTCTTGATAATAGTAATCGGAATAACCTAATCGAAAAGGAAAAATATATACTAATACTAATACATCATTTATCTACTTGTATTTTATCTTGCTGATATTAACACAATAATTATTTGTGGCGTCATGCGCATGAATAATTGAAATAATTTCTAAAATGGAAAACATAATATTAGATATAAACAAACATGAGCGAGAATGGTAATAATAATAATAGTGATAAAATTAATTTTATAAACAGAAACTTGGAAATGTTTAGAAAAAATTGATCGGAAATCTCAACAATTAATGGTGCGTATTATAATAAGCAAGGAATAAAAACATCATTATTATTATACGCAAAGGTAACTGATATTTTAATTTGTGAGTTATTAATTGAAGCATTATAATGATTTAATCCTACTGAATATAATAATATTACAGTAGTACGTACGTTCAAGTTTAAATTGATTTTCATTACAATCCAAACATACATCTGATTCATCATCTGTGTATAAGAAATAGATTCTGGACGTATTTTAATTATGAAATAAATGTTGATATTGAGTTTGTTAATAATTACTCGGTGCATAGTTCACGATGGTGATAAATTGAGAGCAATTATAATTACCAAAATCTTTACAATGACTAAGTCATTGGATCACTTGAGTCAGGTATCATCACCGCTGATATCTGAAATTTGGTAAGGTTACTAAAATAGTATATTACTTTATAAATTTTTTATTCGTATCAGCTTTTCGTATTAAGAAAGAACCATTTTTCTTTACAAATATTTGGATTTTTCATATTAGCCATTTATTTATATTCATAAATTAAAACTTTGTTCAATTTAGAATGGAGAAAATTTGGATGCTATTTTAACGATTAAGTTGTTATGAAAATCTTATCATTGGAAAACTGCGAGCAAATTTTTGTCGAATAATACAACTCAAACACATGTAAGGTCTATATTATGAATTTAATCGGTAAGATTACAGTGTATGATTCATATACACTTGCTTAGAAAGGTTCATTGTTGGTATAGGATTTCTATTAGAAATAATAATGTCTTCTCAAAACATTCAATAATTTTTGTGAGAAGTTTTATACAAAAGGAAACCCAAAATTTTAGACGGTTGGTCAATTAAATAATAAATAACCAAAAACCTTTCTATTGTGGTCTGATAAATTTAAAAAAGAAGAAATGCATTAAAATTTAATGATAATATATGCTATCTATGTCAGAAGATATTAACTTAATTTGTAACTTTCAAGATTTAACCACTCTTTTTTTACTTGTTATTAATCTATAATACATGGTTGACGATCTTTCTTTGAAATTAATTCATGACATCGAATCTTTTGTATAGAGAAAAGTAAAATTGCATTTGATGAAAAATTGCTTTTTTAAAAAAAAAAATCAGTTTTTATTAAATGTAGCTTTCAATTGATCTTTTGCGCTATCTTGATACCCACACATTTAATAAATGCGTCTATATTTATTAATTGCATTCTTTTCTAAAATATAATTCATTCTATTATTGATCAATGAATTTGAAAAAAAAACAAACACGATCTCTGACCAGTTCAAAAATTTTATTGATTTCAAGATAAACAAAATTTTCTTTTATTATAGACAATGTTTTATTGTTTAAAAAAATATACTTCATATTCTATCTATGTATTGATAAAAAGGGATATATTTAAAATCCAATAAAAAATATTTTGGCCTTTTAGTGATGAAAAACTAGTTTTAGTCTTTCCTATGAAATTTGTGTCTTATAATTTTGGTAAAGTGATTATGAGTAACGGGACGAAACTGAGAAAAACTGGTATATTCCTAAACAGTTTGATCGACATTTTATAACGATTATGTATATTTTTATTGACAAAACAATTATGATAATAATAAATATTTACATAAATATTATAGTGGGGTGACTATTATTATTATAATTACTATTACTATAGTTGGGTGTTATTTACCATTTCGTAATTTAATACTGTGAACATGACTGGAATTAAGGAGTCACGATTCCCTATCTCCAGTTACGTTTATTTATTTATAATCATTATATTATGCGGAAAATTAAAAAATCACGTGTAATTACCATATATAATAGTTGATACGTAAAATTTCATTATACAGAAGATAAGAAAACTAGTTATTGCTCCCTTTTCAAAAAAAAAAAAACCACATTATTAATAGTTTACAATAAACAAACATATGAAACATATGAAATTCATTTTACAAAGGATATTTAAAAATTTTCCCATCATCCAATATTACCATTGTCTATCCATTTTAGGGATGGACATGGTAAAATGAACTTTATATATAGTTATTGATCGAAGATTTGGAAGTTGGAGTTATTTGAAATAGCATTGGAAAAGTATCAAAAACAGCTAAGCTTTGTTATAAATGAAAAAAATAATGAGGATATGATAGTTGCAAATCTAAAAAAATTATACAAATGGATCGGAATAATTGATATATTTTTTATAAATGTTATTTTTATAATGTTTATTTATTTATTTTATTCTGTAAACGTTGATTGCTTCACTGAATATCATCAATTTTCTATATTTCTTTACCAAAAGAGCAAGGTATATATATGCTTTTCTTATAATAATAAAAAAATAAACTAAATTTAGTAATTTATTCTCTATGAAGGCTGTGATTTCTCTTTTCATCCATTTGACCTTAAAGTTGGGACAAAAGAAAAACAAAGCAGAACTGGGAGTTGGGTGGACGAACTTGTTATCTTTTAAAACATTTTCAAGGTATAATAGTGAAAAAAGCCAAATGTGCACTTTGTAAAAGAAACTAAACTTTTAAAACAATAAATGAAACTACTAAAGGAAAAGCTGAAGGAACAAGGTATTCATTCTATAATTATTGTTAAATTAATGGTATATTTACTTTGTACATCTATTTCTTATTATTAGATGAATAAATGATGAATAGTAGAAGGTAGTTGTTCTATAATTATTGTTAAATTAATAGTTTTGTATAATATATTTTTTTTATTTATTTCTTGTTATTAGATGTGGATATAGAAACAAGATAGCCGTTCTATAATTATTGTTAAATTAATGGTTTTGTATTATCAAGTAAAAATTTGCCTCCAATCCAATATCTATTTGATAAAATTTGCGTATTTATTCAGTCAGGCCATGCTTACTATTACTATATATTATACAAAACCATTAAACCTTGTTTCTATTATCCATGCATATATACCTAATAATAATAATAGATATATATTATACAAATTATTAATTTAATGACCAACGAATCAATCTTTATGCAAATTTACATTTCGGGTGCTTTTTGTAGATAGTGTATTAGTAGGTAGGTCGACAGAAATAATAAAAATAATCCATCAATCCCAATATTTATTATAGTGACGGCAGAATTAATGATTTTGCATTACCATCTTTCCAAAGTACACCGCAACTATCATCAACATCTAATACATATTCATCAATATCAACACCCAAATACTTTCGATATCAACGTCTTTGAAAAAGTAATCAATTTATAATTCGCCAGGCCAAATTCTGATTCATATTGTTGAATTCAAACCCTGTGATCTATTTACAAAAATTTTGATACTCAAAACTATACTTTGTTTAATTTACAATAGTGGAAAAGTTTAACCTTTCAAGTATGCTAAATCATATTGAATAAATATATTTCAAGTATTCAGTATGTTTTAGTATAATTTTACACATTCTTAAAATACCCTTGATTTTTCCATACTTTAAGTAATTCGAATACCTAAGCTTTTTGTAGGGAATGCATATATCGTTTTGTAAAATGCAGGAAATTGGAGATCTACATAAAGGTGGTAAAGGTATTATTAGAGATACCTCCAAAGAATTAAATATTCCAAGAATTACACTATTCTTTGTTATCAAAATTCAGGATATCATAAAAGTTGGTAGGCAAAAGGCGTCTTGCCAAGAAAAGTTAAAGATAATGAAAGTGATCGCATCCAATTAACTATGATTCAGAAAGGATGGTGCTGTGGTTTCTATTTAAACAATTTATAAGAATTCGCATGATCTTGAGATTCGGAAGGCCAAAGATGTTAGATATACCTGTCCAAGAAAATTAAAGTGACTTCTTGTAAAAGAAAATAATCACATATCGGTAGTCATGATCCAAAAGATATAGAGAGGATGGTGTCGTGGTTCTACTAAACAATTCGTTTTTAGATTAAAAAAACTAGCAATTTTTATATTTGGTAAATAATAATAATTACAATAATTTATCGATTATTTATAAATAAAAAAAAAATTTAAGTTGTTGTCTTTTTATGAATACAATAAGAAAAAAATCTTTTAAACAGTTTAGTTTATAGATAAGCATCAATTTCAAAATTGAAGAATCTATATGTATTTAGTGATAAAAGAAGTTAATTAAAAACATAAATTATCTGTCGATTGCGATTGGTTTTTGGAGAATTCAACCTGTAATTTATCAATCTCGGATTGATAACTATGAGGAGAAAAATGACCATCTATGGACTTATGAAAGGTACCATATGGATCTGGATGTGTTCGGCTACATTTAGGTTCTATACCCAAATAGAACATAAAATTTTTTCTCCTTGCATTCAAATATACTCTACTAATTTTGAATTTATTTGTTTTAATTTCTAAATAATAATCCATCAATCCTAGGTTTTTAAGGTTAACGATTTTATTACATATCATTATTAATCCAAAGAAGATGCTATCGTTCTTTCGTTCTTTGAAATCTCCTTCTTCCAAAGCATTAAATAAATTTATTAACCTAATAATGACAAGTTCTATATCAATTTCTATAAAAGTGTCATTTGAGGTACTATCTTTTATTTCAATTGCTACGTTTTTATTATCATTTTTACTTAAATGAATATATCCAAAAACATAGTCAATCATTAGGAAGTACAAAAAGCATAACTTTTCAATTTCTTTAAGATGCCTTAATAAACCGTCATCGTCCAACAGATTAAATAACACAAATCTTATCTCTTTATGGGTTTCTTGTTGATAATCACGCAATTTTTGATGAATTGATTTAATTATTTCTACATCATGCGAAGAATTTGCTGCTGAACGCGCATCAAATGAACAAAGTCTTGTTTGATCGCATAAGAATCTTTTTGAAATGTTTCTAAACATACTATAATCTTTAAATTTTTCACTTTCTTTTAAGATTTCTCTGAATTTTTCCATTTTTTGCTCTTTTTTTGATCGGATAGTTCTTTCCTCCATTATTATAAAGGCAAGTTATTTAAAAGAGCAAAAAAAAAAAGCATTTATATAAAGTTTATCATGTATTATCCTCGCTCGGTATAATACAAACACAAAATTACGCGTATTGTAAAAAAATAGTGAATTTCTTCGCCGTGTGGTATACGTTAATTTGTTGTCCGTCATCAAGAAAATTAATCTGTTGTCACTATTACTATTACTGTGATGCAGGGTTGGCAATAGACTGGGTCCATTGAGACCATGAGTTTTGGTATGGTCCATTTTCATTAATAAAATACGAACCATGGTAAAAATATTACACCAATGGACTCAATGGACTATCAATGGACCAGCACCATACTGTGATGCAAATTAACGACAAGAATTTGATAAATATAATACATTTTGTTTTTATGAAATTCGGTTTTTCTAATAATTTATTAGTAAGAAAAGCCGAACAATAAATCAGACAATCAATAGAATGGCTCGGTTTAGAAGTTTAGTAATTTTAAAAGACCATTCCGAGAAATCAAAATTGTTGGTATTTTGATAATACATAATAATAAAGTTATAGTTAATAATACAATAATACACAAGAATATTAATATTAAAATCACAAATGACAAATTTAAAACCTTGACAGCATAGTGGACATTCGTATTGTCACTTGTGACGTTATTGTAGCAACATCAGTTTCTGCTCTGATGAAAATTTATAAAATTCCAACAAATTCGTGAAGGTAGCACAACAAATTTCAAATGATATACGTCGTCAATAAAATTTATTTTATACAGGAATTTCATAACCCTTTATTTATTCGTCTCTTCATTGTCAATATATAATATAGTATTGGCGTTACTTATTACAAGTGTCGCATGTATTATGAATCGAATATCTAAAATTGTGTGTATTAGTATTAGCAATTATAAATGGTATTTGTATTGTGATTCAATTACATCGAATAATTAACAAGAGCCATCACGGTTGTTGTTCGGATGTTTATAATGGACTCCCTTAATTTCTCGAATTTTTAATTTTTACATGAGCGAGTATTACAAAATATTTCCACATGCCATACTCGAACAAGTAAATAATGCATATTTCCTTCGGTCACAGAAAGTTAAAGCAAGCAATCAACGCATGTTTATTGTGAGGATGATTGGAAAGTTATGTTTGAAGGAACGCTTGGTATAATGTTTGTGTAATTTTGACTAATTTGTGTCTTTTTCTTTGGATATCGATTTTCTCACTGTCATATCCTTCTTAGCCACACAATCTCGTTTGCATGTCATTCACCGATGAATAGATGCACAACATCCACAATATTTCAACATATATTTCAAATCTAGCACCAAAATTAACGCTAAATCGATCAATTCAATATTAAACCTTACAATAATATATTCTACCCGAATCTTACCATCACTCAAAATATGGCGAAGATTGTGATTTAAGTTTATTGAATAAATTGTACATATTTTCATTGGCTGTTTAAATTAATAATGGTTTAAATAATTAAAAAAAAAAGTTTTCAGAATACCAGTGACTGAGTCATCAAATTCAATTATCTTATCAAGTTTTATTGAACGTAGAATTGCGAAAGATTTAATTAATGTTATAAAAAGTTTTCATAATACCAGTGACTGAGTCATCAAATTCAATTATCTTATCAAGTTTTATTGAACGTGAAATTGCGAAAGATTTAATTAATGTTATAAAAATAATAAATATCAAGTTTTTTTTCATTCGTTTTATTGGTAATAACAAAGAGAAAAAATTCCCATTCAAAGACTTTTTTCAAATTGTTTGAGAAAAAAGAGAGAGAATTTATATATATAATAGGAATAAATATCACCCTGGATTTTTACAGGATATAAAAATGCAAAGGATGGAGTTAATTCATTATATTTAAAGAAAAATTTTTTTCAAGCACGTTTGGGATACTTTAAACCAGTGTTGGCAAATTACGCGAGGTAAATTGTCAAGTCCTAAACCGTTAATAAAATAATATATATACATAGATGAACTTATTTAAAAAATTCCATCAAGTGGTTTTTTTTGTTTAGAATAATACTTTATAAAAAAATCATCTTTTAACTATTTGCGTTTTCCAATATTACTAATGTGTATATTATGTTATAAAGAAATTAAATAAATCAAAAAGTAAAAAGTAAACCATGATTAATATTATTTTGGCATTTTTTTCTATGGAAGTTACACTATAAAGACGGAATCTTTTAATTCGTTGACTTCCTTCACTTTTTAAATAGATAGCAAAATAATATTAGATCTACGAACAGGTTTAGGTGCAGCAAAATTGGATTTTGAAATCAAAATGATAAAACTTATATATTCAAATGATGATAAGGTATGTATAATATATATATTAATGTCTCAAAAAAAATGGTGGTCACAAAAATATCACACATCTCAACAATTACATAACATAGTTAAATAAAATTGGATTCATTCGAAAGCCTTATCATTTACTTTATTAAATAATAAAAAATAAACATGAAATGCTATTGCCAATTTTCTGTAAAGCTAATTCATATATTTTTTTTAGAACTTTGCTAAATTTTTGTCTCTGAAATTTAAACATGGAATTTTTTAACGATAACTCTGACACAAGCATATACATAGTAATTATACAAAAAATTATACCAGTCTGTAGCAAAAGTTCTGGAGATTATGTATATAAAGTTTCACACTTCCAGATTTTCTAGATTTTTATCAATTGAAAATAAAAGGAATTTGATTATTTGAAAAAACCATCCAAATGTGTAAATTTCTTTAATGATTGCTCTAAATCCTACATGACAATATACTTCAAAAATTTTCTATCTTATAATCTAAGATCTTCCGATTCTCTGGTATAATTTTTATTACATAATTTTTGGCTACTTTTTCATTAAAAACAATATTTTACAAACCACCATTTTTTTTTGAGACACAGTGTATATCAAGATAAAAAAGCAATATGAGAAAAGGTTGTTGAATTAGATATTGCAGGAAAATTTTTGTCAAGAATTCCTGCATTAAACAAAACCGATTTTTAATATGGTCAAACCTCGCTTCAAGGAATCTATGGGGCACATAAGAGAATTGCATTACTAATCGGGTTTCAGAGAATTCTATGTTTTATATGTGAAGCAAAAATTTTAAAAATTCGTAATTATAATTAGTTGAAACGAGTTTTGACTGTAGAAAAACATGAAGATGCATTTTTATTATTATCGGGTAATGATGTCAAACCTGAAAATACAAATATTAGAAAGTAATTTTGATGAAAAATGTCAATATCAATGAAAATGGTAATAGTAGGGAAAATATCATTCTAAGATTTATATTAAAAAAAAAAAAAAAGAAAAAACATAAAATAAATATTTAAACAATATTATTAATCCTAAATTTTTTAGAATGATCATAATTCATGCAATAATTCTCTTGATATTGGAAATTATTAGGGTTTTTATTAAAATCTATCATCCAAGTCATATTATCTAAAGCTGCATATAACCGTGAATGATCCATCTAATAATAGAATTGAAATTAAGAACTTGGTTTATTTATTTAAATAATAATCATAATAATAATAATTAATTGATTACAAACCTGCAATGAATATACTGGTGAGCGACTTCTACCAAGATAAACAGACCAGCCATCACCATACAATCTTCCACCTCTCTTTAAACTGTTTATCATATTATTTTTATAATATCTTAAATCAAACAATCTTATTAATCCATTTGAATAAGAACCAGAAGCCAATTTATGAAAATCATAATCAACAGAATAAACTGGATAACAATCACAAACAAATAAAAACAAAAAGAAATTGTTCATTGTTATTATTGTTGTTATTTTTTTTTAAAAAATAATCATTATAAAAAAACTTTTTTATATTTATACCAGGTGAGAGATCATAAGGATCTCTATATGATGCTATGCATTCCATACTTCTAGTGTCAAAGAGACGTGTTAATCCATCATAACATCCAGAAACAAAAGTATTTGGTAGAATTTGATTTGAAGCTAATGCATAAACACTACTATTATGATTGTTTATTGAAAATCTGGAATCAACAAATCCGGTTGGAGTAACATAGTATAATGTCAAATGATTATCGCTTTTATTGCCCACTCCAATCAAATGACTATTGCATGATAAATTTTTTACAATGTAAGGTTTACCAATTATTTTATGTGTATGTCTCTTTTCACCAGTTTCCACATCCCATAAAATCATCTTTAGATCTGTGCCTACCGAAATCAAAGATAATGATTTATCAGAAATTTGGCAGATTGATTGAACAATGCCATCATGCCCATAAAAAGTTCTCAGTTCATTTAGATGAATATGATTTTTGTGATTTTTGTTCAAATAGAATCTTTTGATTGTATAATCTACAGAACTTGTAAATATGTGATTTCTATTATTACAACAAAATATTATATCAGTAATGTCATTATTGTGAACATGAAAATTTTTTCTCTTATAGAACTTTGCTGGATCTTGGGGTGAGAAATAAGAAACATCCAGTGAACTTCCAACAGTGCAGATTAATTTTGCTGAGTCAAATTTTATTTTAGGCATTAATGCTTGTCTATGCCTTGCTATTATGGTTGGCTTGAACTTTCTTCTGTTCCAATTTTTATTTATAGCAAAACCAAATTTGACTTTTCCCTCCCAATCATTATCATATATAATAGGGTATTGTAATATATTCCAATTTTGACTATTGAAATATATCCTAAACCCATACTTCTTTATAATATTGTAATAGTCTTTGTTAACAAGAGATAAATTCGTCAAATCTTTTATTGACAAAAGCTCAATTATACAAAATAATAAGTCAAATGGAAATTTTTGAAGCATTTTTTTGATTAATAAATTAGTTACTCAAAATAGAAATAATATTTTTCCTATACATTTTGGGCTACATGATAAACGATCGATTTCCTAATGTAGTATATGAACTATTAATGTGCAAAGAAAAAAGTTTTGTAGAAGGTAT